TGTCTCGGGGGCCCCGCGAGCCGCGAGCCGAGGACTCGGTGCAGTAGAGGGATTGACGCTGGTCGCCCGACTTTGCGCATAGGAACTAAAGACGTCCGGAGTAGAGAAAGGTGGGTAGAGGTTGTTACGTCGGAAGGTTTCGTAGTGGCCACTGTTATGACTGCCTTTGTGGCAGACAATGGCCAGCAGCTTGAACCACTTCTGGCTCAGAATCCCACCCAAAGGGAGCCTCTCAGGAAAGGACACCTTGGCGGCATTTTTTGTAGAACTACTGCGATCAAAGATCGAGCGCGAAAGATGGATTGCTATAATCTTGGGGAAAACAGTGATGCGCATATGGCGAGCAATCTTTCGCTTAGGCGCGAGATCCGCTGGAGGAAGGCTGACTCCTTCGGGAGGATTCTCAGGATCTGTAACGATAGCATGTCGAATCAACTGGACCTCTTGTTCGATACGCTCCCGATCTCTCGTGGAATGAGACCTGCTCATGTCTACCATCTTGGCATCCAGGGCATGTTGCAACCGGCATCTGTCACACCGGAAGTCATCGATATATTCTGTTTTGAGCAATCCGTCGAAGCAGGAACTGAGGGTGGTCGAGCTCTTCTGAGGAACTTGTAGCGTCAGGTTCACGAATGAAGTCTTGTTCGGCTTGTATTGATAATGGCAGAACTGGCATTCAATCTGCGATTCCATCTGTCCTTCGAATGGAAATCCGTATTCATTGTCGATCTCTTTCAATTTGTTGTCGATGATTGCCGGGAGGCCAATCTCAGATCCATCGTCAATCCGCACTTCGATTTCAGTAGATCCCTTCTCGACAACATTACTTTGTATAGATTCCCCGCCACCGGAGGCTGGCAGCGCTGCAACAGAACCTTGTGCACGCTGTCGTGCCTTCAAGCCGGCATGGTATTCGTCACAAAGACGCTCCGCGACGATCTGAAGAAATTCCTGCGCATCCTGCTGATTGCGGCTAATCCGAGTACGGAAAGCGTACTCGAGAGCCTGGATGAAAGCCCGGTTGGTGATGGTCTTCTTGTAGATTGGACGCTCATTTAATCGGTCCAACATCTCTTTCAGAGCTCGCGTGATCGTACCCTGCTGTAGTTCCCGGACCCTCTCAGGTCTCATCCCACGCGACGTCTCATCTGCCTCCGGCAGTGAGTTATATATGTCCGGTCCATCTAGTTCACGCCGATGTAGTTCCCTGATCAGGTAGACACGCAGATCGCCCAGGCCCGCGAGCGCCTGCAGGACCGAGTTGATGAAGCAGTCGTTCGCCGGATTCGACAGCCCCACAATACTCTTCTTGCGGTCACTGTCGTTCGAGTCGTCGCCGTCGATTGTGTAATTTGGTCCGAACACGTAGAAGAGGGCCACGGCGGCGAGGGATGCTCCGGCTGCGTATGCGGCGATGGTCGTCGACTTTTCCTGCATAGCTGCGTTGCTGTTGAGCCGCGAGAGCCCCCTATCGATGCTATTGGTTGAGGATATCTTTCGAATGCACGAAACGTCGCCAGGCTCATTGCTCCATTGGCGGCGCGCGGGGGGGAGGCGAGGTTCGACTCTGACTGGGAGGCGAGCCACTCCAAAAAGCCAATGGCGAACCTAACGGCAGGACAAGAATGTCGATAAGTTTTCTTCGACTCCTGTAGTGCAATTTCTCCGTCGAATGATGATATTCAGAGTGAAGATGACAGTTTCTGGGTGGCGGCTATGGGCGGATAATTGTCCGTCAGATAACTGTTTTTCCCCATACACAGCGTAGCACCCGAGGATGTGGATTGTGGAGAGGAATTTGAACAATGGGGTTGAAGGCGAGAAAAGGGCACTCACGCATGCTTATAAACTGCTTAAATAATCGTTCATGTCGTCAGAACATCCGAATTAATCATGACAGAGCGACTTGCATAAATGAATATCCAGGCAACAAGATAGGGGAATGTTGAAATCTGATCAATCTTCGTCGTCTTCGCTCTTCGCTCTTCACTCCCGAGTTTCGTCCGGAGAACCTGGGACGCCAAGCGACCGTCAACGACGTCTGAAACCCCCACATTTGAGATCCTGGGTCCGCCTGACGACTACAGAAAAGGAGCATGTTCAAGGATACCATGGCTTCCAGTGCTCCAGGAGTTCGTGGACCAATATGAGATCATCGGGGTCAGTTGAGTGGTGTTCCACAGCCAGATCTGCAGGACCATAGTTGCCCCTTAACAAATGGTAAGGAGATCATCGTCAATAGGGCCTGATGATCCAATGCGCAATCCTGATAATTGTCCACTTGTTAGACTCCATCAGCCGGATTGGAGCAGTTTGAAGGATAAAATTTGTAACTCAAGAGTAGTTGGGGTGGTGATGGTGTCCCTTTTGAGAGTGCTGGATCTAAGCCTCAGAGACATGGCATGATCGAAACGTGACCATGGAGTAAGGCGCAAATAAAGCAGATTAGAATTCTCACTTCAACATAATCGAGATATTCGGGTACTTTTAGTTGATGATAGAGCAGGAATATCATCAACTTAGAATGACTTGGCTTTTTTCATCGCCTGCCTGACTGAATATATGAGACTCAATTCTCGAAATCGCTTGAACACAAGTCGTTTTGTCTCAACAAGAACTTTTCATTGATTCAATCTATTGTAGTAGTCTTTCTAAAAAGAGATTCATGACACACTACTGCATATACAAAAAGGCATCGCTTCCCCCAAGGTATCAGCGCATTGACCGGGTGAGTCGGAGAGCGTCCCGATTCACCATGTTGAGAAAACAAACTTAAGCGCACATCGACTAGGGTAAGGTGGCAACCTTCTCGTTGAACAAGTCCTCTGCTTGCTTCCAGACACGAGCGTTCTTTCTGTCCTTGAGTTGCAGTAGGCTCGGCAGCAAGGCTTCGCTGAACATCTCGGAGCTTTCACGGGGAAGGAGGGATGGGAGGTGGTCGATGCTGATCACGCTCAATGGAGGGCCCTGGGCCCGTTCGGGAAGGGGAACAGTCACTGTGGGCTTGTCAAAAGTGGTTGTGATGGAATAGACAGGGATAGGATTGTGGGGGTTGGTTCTGAGTGAGACAAGTTCAGAATGTCAGCGAGAACGTCCTTTATCCTTAAGAGTCCAAAAGAGTAACATACGTGTCGGCGCTCACGTCACAAATGACAGACAAGCGGCGGTTAGGAGAAGACAGAGAGTCGGTGTTGACGAAAGGAGGGATCTTAGCGGAAAGGTAGATGCAGTTGATGAAAATATCTGCATCCTCAACAATCTCCTTGAAGGGACCACCTGAAAAATCAGATTAGCACAGGCACACTAGCTGCAGGTGAGAATGAAGACATACCCTTCTTGGTCTCTTCCATATCCCACTGGATGATATCGGACTCAGGAATGCCGACATCCTTGGCCAGTTGAACGGCTCCCTTGCCACAACGCCCAAGCTAGACTTGGTCAGTACAATTAGGAGACCTCAGCTCATCGAATGCACACTCACAGCTCCAATGACAAGTACCCTGGGCGACCTGCCAGACAGCTTCTTGCCAGACTCCAACGACTCCTTCACTGACTCGATCAACAAGTCCTGGTTTGCGTAGGGAGTCTCGCCAGGAAGGGGTTCGCCCTCAGGATGCGTCAATTGCCAGGCCCAGTTCTTAATGGCCAAAGCAGAACCTGTGCATAGCGTGAGCATTCCCCTATATACGACGCATAGCAAAGCGAAATAATTTACCTGCATAACCGGCGGAGTATCCAAAAGCTGAAGGTGAAAGTCAGACACTATTTCATTCATCCAAAGCAGAAACAGTTGTCACCTACCGGCTACTCGGCGTCCGGCGTCATCTGTGAGGAATTCCAAGTCCAAGAGGGTGCCGCCTCCGCGAGGCCACCGGCTGAGAACCTTCTCCCAACCAGCCTGTTGCTTGTAGCAGTGCGCAAAGGAGATGTGAACGTGCTCAAGGGGGAAATCGTCTTCGGGAAGCTCCTTCAGACCCAGTATATAGGCATCTTTAGGTGCGTCCTTCACCCATGAACCTTCCTCGACGAGGGGAGCGCCGATCTGTACAACTAGTGCGTGAGAATGTCGTCCGAAGAAGGGATTATGTGCGAATCTCAAATTACCTGCTCAAACTCCTTATCTGTCACAAAGCCAGTTCTGTTAGCGATTGGCCCTGAGAAGGAATCGGGAGATTATCCTCACCGTCGAAAATCCGCTGAGTGGAACGCTCCACGGTCACCTCGTAGCCGGCATCCATGAGGGCCTTGCAGGTAGTCGGGGTCACTACATTCCATACAATTAGCACATGCAATTGAAAGATTTACAGATTGAAAATGCCATGATGACTAGGGTATTTTTCGCAAGAACATGTAGAACTCACAAGCAGACCGAGCCTCGGCGGGCTTGGTTTCAGCGCGCAACCAGATCTTATTGCTCGACATGACTGAAATTCAATTGATGAATGCTCGAAGACAGATTGATTTCCTTGAAAAGAAAAAATCGAGATTTCAAATATGGAAAGTGAAATTAGAACGATGACTATTGGAGCTATGACAGTGACTCAATCCCCTCCAGCGATAACGCTTGATCCGCTCCGTGGCTGTGACTCAGCGAGGGGTTGGGGTACGGAGTACCTTACTAACAACGCCTCAGCCCGATATCGGCTTTTCTCAAGAAGGCGTTGATATACAACAGGGCTTGGGATTGCTCCATCATTTTGATAATTGTGCTTGCACCTGCTCTAGATGACTTCGTTTATACGTCAAAGCATTACTCATCAAAGATTGACACATGGTGGTTGAAGTATTACTGATTTCCTCAATCAGAATATATACTCGCAGATATCGAACTGACAATTATGTGTGCTTATGTTGGATACGCAAGAGTAACAGCTGTACCAGTTTGCATTATCATTGCTAAGACTGCTAAAGGGAAATTGAAAGAGAGTGTCTCGTAGCAGACATTCACTAGTAGGCCATGAAGGTCGACAAGAGTCCGGAAATCAAAGGAGTACAGCTCAAGTCGCTGCAGCCTTGGTCCGACTGCGTGTCCGACTCCCGATACCATCTGTATGAACTATACGCTTCACTGTGTCTTTCACTTTCTTAGAGCGCCCTGACTTTTGCTCACTACCGGTGGCCGGGGCAGCTGGTTGACCGTTTTCGACCACGCCATTCCTCTTGCTAATTTTTTGCTTCTTACGTGCGGGTTCTGTGGATTCTCCAGGGACAGCTTTGTCATCATGGGCCGGTGCCGAAGACGGGTTGCGCTCTTGTTTGTCTCCTGCTTGCGCGGTGTCTGCGGTAGATGGTGGTTGAGCGTCAGTCACAGCCCCAGCGAGGGCCTGTTCTGGAGAAGTTGAAGGATCGATGGCTTTGAAGTCTTCAGCAGACTTGGTTCCTTCCGAGCTGCTCTGGTTTGGATTGGGGATGGACTCTGCAGGGAGCGCTTTGTCACTCTCCAGTGGACGGCTGTCGACCTTGGTCTCTCTAGCAGTATTCTCTAGCGATTTACTGTTGACTTCTGGTTCGGTCTGGATTGTAGGCTCTGGCGATATCCATTAGCGTCTGATAGCGTCTGATTGCTCTATTTGAACGCTTAGGGTGGTAATTAAATGGTTTTGAAGTTTAACTCGGGCGGCCAGACAGCGCCCTGTATCCTGGACATACCTTGCTTGGAGTGACCTTTTACAACGCTAGAGTCGTTTTCGGTGGCCATGATTGTGATTGCTAATGTGTACTTATATGGGCTTCGTCCATGAATGGGAAATGGAGACGATATAATGGTCTCGAAAAAAGAGACTTGATTATCACTATAGCTGAGATCGCTAGGATAGATGATTCTGGAACAGTGTATCACCGATGAGGAGAGGTCGAGGATGACAAAGTGTGAAGGGAATGGAGAGGAGACAGCGCGTGAGACGTTGACTAAGATCTTCGAGAACGCTAGCCTTCTCTCGGTTATTTGTTCTATTCGCCCCCAACATGTTAGCGGGTGCTAGATTTAGTAACGCAACACCAGACTTCAATTCCGGGCTGAGCACCAGGGTCTGGCCTGCATCCCTGGCGTAGTCTGGCGCTTCTTGACGTTCTTTGTTGTAGGTAAGCATGCCAAGAAGAGGAGTAAGGGTGGCATTAGTGCGGCAGAGTGGAGCACCATTGCCGAGTTGGGACGAGATGGGCGCTTCCTCGCGTGAACTGCGTCCCTCGTCGGTCAAAGTCCATGACGTCGATGAATGATGCTGGAAAGGTGGCACTCCAATGGTCTCAATTAGCCAGAATCCAATGGGCTACATCTCATGTGTTTGTGTATGTTGGTTCGACATGGTTAACATGCGAGCCAATGCGAATCATGCCAGGCCCAGTAGGTTGGATAGGTTCTCCTCCTCTGCCGACACTTGATCAAACGTGCTGGATGCCGACTCCTGGCCAATCTTTTCCGGCAGATTCTCCTGAATAAAGCGTGCCAAGTATGAAGCTTCCGCCAATTTTTGCTGATCGACCAAGATACGAATGGCGGTAATGGCATAGAGCACAAAGTTCTCCTTTTTCGTCTTGGGCCATGTTGTGAGCCGAACTCGTGATATTCTCTCTGTAAATTGCACAAAGCGCGTAGCGTCAGGTCGGGTCGGGTGGAAAAGAGGCACGCAAGCTAGTAGTAACGATTTGAGAGACCATGAAGCGATAATCCTCACATATTCATCGTACATCTCAAGAGGCATTTGTTTGAGCTGCGATTGCTCACCCTCCATGGCTGCGCGGCACAAAAACCCGGCTGCAGGCATTAGTAGGGCTTTCTTGTATTGAACAAGGCCGAGCTCGTAATCTGTAGAGATTGGCAGCCTGCTCGCCTCCAAGTAGTACCTCATGGCCGAGACTAAACCCTCTCCGTACTGAATCTCAGCTTTCAAGAGGTCGAGCAGGAAATTTCGAGCCACGGTTTGGGCCATGGCCTCCGATATGCGACCGTCAGCACCGCCCAGGTCACGGCTCAACAGCATTCCCAGCCAGGTCATTGCCGTCTTCTGTAGCCCCTCAGCGATCATGAATTTGAGGAGTGTGACGGTTGAAGATCGTATTGTGAATAGCATTTTCCTGGATTCGGAATCGGATGCGTACCACCAGGACACGATTTTGGAACCGGCCTTAGACTTCTTCATCGCGTCTACAACTCCATCGCCGGTATTAGCGCTGGCGAGCACTAGCTGGGCCCTTAAACAATTGAACAGAGCGGTCTTATTAACAGAACCCGAGGCAACCAATTCATCGAAGACGGTCATAGGCTCAGTCGCCAGTTTCTGCTCCTGAAGTGGTCCAAGACCGGATTGGTGCGCAGGACTAGCTGCACTTGAGGGAATGACGCGGAAAAGAGGATTCTCCAAAATAGTCCGTAGATGTTTGTCCGTGGCATGAACGGAGGATAAAGGATTGTCACCGTTCTCATCGTTATTGGCTGAAGAGGATGATGGGTACTCTCGATCAAGCTGACGACGGAAGGAGGAGGTAAGGGCGTTCAGTAATTGCGCTGATTCTCTTGGCGTACGAGGAAGAGGTTGATGAATTTTTGCGAAAGGGCTAAATTTGAACAATGATGACCCCTTCATGTTGACTCTGCTGCCGTGGGGTTGATAGACGAGATGTATTGCGAGTGGAATACCTCAGTTCTCGTGCTCAACCTGTCCCTCAGCAGTTCAAACGGAGCATACAAGGAATCAACCGAGCCTCAGGCAGCGAACATCACCTGAGCGATTGGGAAGCGCAAAACCGGGGGCGGTGAGTGGAAGCAGCGAATGAAAGGATGGTCTTCTGATACCCAAACCAAAGCAGGCCACACAAGAGGAGGAAAGGGTTAGAGAGGCGAAGTTGTCCACAATAATGATCATCAAGGAGGGTTTTAAGATGTAGAGTAGTCAATAGAGCTCAATTGATGACGATACTAACAGTTAGACAACTATAGCCCACAAGATAGAATAACTAGATGTATTCATTTCAAGAGTACTTTAAGGCTATGTAGATGATGAAATCATCCCAGAGAGCCTCCTCCCCCCCCCCATAGTCTATCTACTCGCTAAAGGAGCAAAAAGATCGGCTGTTGCCTCAGGCTCAGCTGTCTCCTTCAGACACACGCCGGCCCAAACCTTCTCTACCTTACTAGCAGAAAGTCTCGTTCCCTGCCATTTCGATCTTGATCCAAGTCCCAATAATTAATCTCTTCCTCCCTTCTTCCCACTCTCTCTACTGCTTCCTCTTCCCCACAAGTCTATAATAACTTCCCTTTTTTCTTATTATTCTTTTTTCCTTTTCTCAACTATCCTCCTCCTCCGTCCTTCGTCTTCTCTTTCCCCTTTTTCCCCCGTTGTCTCCCCGGATTCGGCGGCCCTTGTGCCCGTGGTTTTGGTGCTGTCCTCTCGTGAGGGTGCAGCTGTGATCATTTCCACTACCAACGACCTCTTTTTACCCGTTCAGGTCAGCCACACTTTGTCGTCCCCACCGTCGACGTCGGAAATTCCTTCAATCTCCTCTTCTATTATTTAATTGCTCCGTTTTGGAGATACATCAACACTACCAGAAGACATGTCTGAAGTTCAAACACGGCCTTCTGCCTCTCGAGGCAGAGTATCCGCTCGTGGTGGTCGAGGTGGCTATAGCTCCAGAGGTGGTCGCGGAGGCAGCAGATCGGCCAAGGCAGACACCTCAGACCAGACCACATTTGAAGATGAAGGAGAGATCGGTCAGATGAAGAAGAAATACTCGAACGATCTGCCCACACTGAAGGAATTGTTCCCTGACTGGACCGATGAGGATCTCGTGTTTGCTCTGGAAGATGCCGACKGCGTGCTCGAGGATGCTATTGAGCGCATTACTGAAGGTATGTGATCGCGGATCCCCCGAGTTGTATCTCATATCTCTACATCTGCTGTCCACTGGAATTGGCTCTGACTTTGATCGTTCTATCTCAACAGGCAACGTCTCACAGTGGGGTGAGGTGAAAAAGAAGACGACCGACCGCAACCGCTCCAAGGCCAAGGAGGCACAGAGCACCCCGACTGAGGCAACCACAAGTTCCGTTCGCTCAGGCCGTGGACGTGGCGGATTTGAGGGTCGTGGACGCGCCCGTGGGGATCGTGGTCGTGGTGGTCGCGGCGGCCGGGCTGGAGCTGTCAGTGCACGCGCCGAGAAGCCCGTTGTCACTACCACCGTGGACGTTGTGGAGACAACGATCGTTCCCGAGAAACCGATTGAGGTCGAAACTCCCCCTGTCGACGCCGATACGACCGCCGACGCTGTCAAAGAGGCCCCGAAGGCCAACGTGATGCCGGATGGCACCAAGAAAGGTTGGGCGAGCTTGTTCGCAAAGCCTGCGCCGCCTCCGCAGAAGAAACCCGCAGTTACACCTACGCCTGCGCCTGTCCCAGCTCCCGCCCCCGCTGAACAACAACAGCCAGCCGCTGAGCCAGCAGCGGAGCAGAAAGCAGCTGAATCTGCCCCTGCTCCTGCGCCCGCACCCGCACCTGCTCCAGCTCCCGCTGCTGCTACCGCCCCCGCTCCTGTCCCAATCCCTGTTCCTGTTCCTATTCCTGTCGAGAAAGGACCTGAACCTGTCCTTCCTAAGCAGCCTGCTGAAGCTCTCCCTGTTACTCCTTCCACTGCGCACATCGCTCCTCCCAAGGATGGTCTGACCAAGACAAACCTTGAACAACTCCCCGATGTTTCACCTCCCGCTCCCACAGCCACTGCGGCTAGCACAGTCGGCAGCACCCTTGATGCCAACAGCATCGCAGCTGTCTCTACTCCCGCTCGTCAAGTTGCTCAAGCTGCCTTCCCTTCGAGCGTATTCAAGTCCGGCGCTCGGGCCCCCGGATCGCAGCGTCGTGTCATGGAACAGCAAGAAGCTGTGGTCATGCCTGGAAACCACGCCGTTGATCGTGCGGCTGTGCAGTTTGGCAGCATGGGACTGAACGGCGATGTTGCCGATGTCGATATTGACGAGAACAGAGAAAACGCTGAAACCCGTGCTCAGCCCCCTCAACACTCTCCCGTCGCTCCTCGTGCCTCTCTACCTCCTTCCACTCAGGCCCAGCCGTCCACCGAGACTCCTACCGTTTCCCGTCCGGCTCCCGGACTTCCTCCTGTCCCACAAGTCTCCGCTGCCGATTCCTCTTTCACAGATTTTGCCCGCTACACCGAGGCCCAGAAGCCTTACGATCCGTTTTCTCAGCAGGTCACCCAGCCTCAACCGCAAGTGCAGGAGCCATTCGCAAACCAGGCCCCCGTCCAGCCCACTGTCACATCCGGCAGCGAATACTCTCCTTTCTACGCTGTTGACCAGCGCCTCCCTTACAACTACTATGGCACTTATGGCCAGTCCCAGGATGCCTCTGTGGCTCAAAGGGCGGCGGCTGGTTTCGGTGTCTCCGGCGCTGAGGTGCAGCCCCAAGCTCCCACCACTCAGCCTCCCAGCCGCTATGGCCATGTCGATGCTCCTAGCAGCGGTCACAACACCCCGAACCCAACTCTCCCCGCCGCTACTCAAACTCCAACTGCGCAGCACATGCCTGGTCAAGCTGCCGCTCATGCGTACGGTTACGGATACCCTTACTACTCCAACCCTCACTATGCTTCGTACATGAGCCAGATGACTCAGCAACAGTACGGAAGAAACCGACCCATGTACGACGATGCTCGCCGCTATGATGACCAACACTACATGCCGCACAACACTCAGTATGGATATGGCAATCAGTATGGCCCATATGGCAAGGCTGGTATGTATGGCCAGCCGCACGGTTTCTCCTACGACCACTCCTCCTCGCCTGCTACCGCGGGTAGCTTCAACCAATCTGCTCCCGGCCGTGACTCTGTCTATGGCCGCACTGGATCCACGCAGCCTTCTGAGACCCAGCAGACCGCCGCTGGCACCAACGCCTTTGGCGCGGGCATGTCGGATGTTTTTGGCCGCACACAGGCTGGTTTCGGCCAAAACCAACCCATCTCCCAGCAGCCTCCGGTGAGCTCGGAGGAGACGAAGAGCTTCGAGACACCTAAGGCGGCCGGGCCCAGTCCCTCCCTTGCGCAGGCCAACCGCCCTGGCTCTGCCACTAACAGTGTGCCCGGACAGCCTCAAGCGCAGACTGGCCTTCCCCCTCTTCAAGGCCAGCAGGGACAGCAGGGATTCGGTGGATACCCTCATCTGAACCCCCAGTACGGCAGTGGACTGGGTGGACTTGGCGGACACCAAGCTGGTGCCACAGGCCAGACACACCACCAGGCTACCGGTTACGGTAACTACGGAGGCGCCGGTTTCGCTAACTATTACGGAAATACTGGACGCGGTGGCTGGGGAGGCAATTACGGCCATTAAAGGGTCATAGCGTTCATATCATTTCCCGGTTGATGGGAATGTTTACTGTTACATCACACTTTCTTTTTCTCTCCATGCTCTTTTCCTCTTGAACTTGTTTTGCCCTCTTCTCTCTATTTCCTACGAGGCGGCATGCCTGGGTCAAAAAAATTCCTATACTGCACTGTTGTGTTCTGTCACCTTTCTTATGCCATCATCCAACGTGTAATCTCTACTCTCGACGAGGGGAGCTCGGTCAGCTCTCCTCCAGAATTTGATATGCTACGCAGGGATATGCTGATGATACTGTATTCAACCGAGAAAAATGCGAGGCATATTTTCCTTTTCTTTGTTATCATCATTGACGGTTCATGACATCTCTGCTGTTGTTGTTTCAGGTTTGCTGGTTCAGTTTCTCCCATCCAAGCATGATTCTCTTTCATCCATTATTCCAGATTGCCAGTTCTATTTCCTCAATCTGGCTCTTTTTTCCACTTGATGTTTGTTCATGACAGAAAAAAGCCGCCTTCTGTTATTCCCTTTTCCTTCTGTGCGTCTGTTTTGCATACTTCCAGCTTCCTTCCTGTACTACTTATCCGGTGTCATTTGGGGACTACATTTATGCAATTCTGACTGGATTAGGACAAGGGATGGGGGCTCCGGGAAATACAGGAAATGAATTGAAATGATTTGGGATGGCGTTTGATATGATTTTCTTTCTTTCCTTCAATTCTTTGATCGTAGGCAGTTGGTAAGGTATTATGAGAGCTGTACGCCGTAGCATTAGTAGAGTTGGTCCGCGCATTGTCTATTCTTGCGTTCAATGTGCAGACCACCGCATATCTACGTAGCAGATATCAACCGCCTCCGGTATTCACTGCGGAGAAAGATCTTGTATTATTTCGGGTGCCTCAAGAGTTCGAGAGTGACTTATTCTCTAATGGACAGGCATTCTTATGGAATAAGGAGGTTAGAAGTGACGTGATGGATTGTTTTGCTCGACTTGTGGATTCTAAATGTTCAAGACTACTACGTAACCTTCCTATATACAAGAATCGGAACTCCTAAGGAGAGAAAAAAAAATCCGATGAACGTGATGCAACGTACCCAAAAGCGATTAATGATTCTATTCGCAACGTTCACTGTGGCATAGTGCATAGTGAATACTGTATGAACGTGTCTGACAGCCCCGTTCTCGTAGTAACAACTAGCAGACTGGAGGCTTACTCGGACACTCCGAGTCCCTCACCACCGGTCTGGTGATAGGGCGGCTTAGCATTTGCGGCGCGCTCCTTGTCAAAACGCCAGACGCCACCAGTCTTATCGCTCTCGAGCGAAGTCAGGCCGACCATCCTGGCCAGACGCTGGAACTCCTCGTCCGCCGTTTCATCGACGCGCTTGAAGAACCGGCGCTCCCACTCCCGGTTCTCGGCCTTTTCGACTTTGCGGAGCTCGCGTTGAGCGTTCTCGATCTTCGACTTGGCCACGGAGGTGGCGTCCATATCACCGCGCTCGATGGCCGATGCGACGTCGCGCCAGGCTCGTCGGCTCTCCCATAGGTCTTGCTCCTCCAGAGGGGCGACGGTTAGCGGGCTGGTGTCCATGTCCTTGGCGACGTAGCGGTCGATCTCCTTGTTGGTGCGAGCGTCCTTGATAACAAATGTGTCGGACCATTGTCCCTCTGCGGTGTATAGAGGCTTCTTCTCTCCGTCCTTCTCGTGATAGAGCACGGCGTTGAAAGTGTTCTTCTTGCCACTGAGCCAGCCCTTGCCGGAGTAATTGATCTTGGCGATGTAGCCTGTGCTACTGGCGATCATGGTCGACCTCTCCAGTTCCATGAATGGCGTACCGTAGATGAGGGACTCGACATGCAAGTATGGGAGTGTGATGAGGTAGCGCTCCTTCTGGGCCGGATCGTTCTTATCCGCGGTTGGAGGGGTGATTGTCAGCAAGGCATGGCCGATTTGCTTGATTTGAATTGTGTTGGAGAAGGATGCCTTCTGCGCATTGTATCCTTGTAGCTAGCAAAAAAAATCATTGTAAGATTCTAATCAATTACATCCGTACTACGCTTAATATCTCTTGACTTACCTCGATACCGTGCTTCTCGTTGGTGATCGCATAGGCTGTGGCAGGGGGATGGTGGCTGTTATGGGCTCAGTACTGGGTCGCAGCCGAGACCAAATTAGAGAAAAACGAACCTGACTTGCTCGCTGATCAAGGTAGTCTCGCCGGCGTCAGGATCATTTTCCCACTTGCCGAGGAAAAGTTCACCCAGGAAGGGGTTTAGAGGCTTCTTCTCACTGCCCAGCTTCTCGCTGCGGGAGCAGTACTGTTGACGCAGCGTGCTGAGAAACCACTTCAGAACAGCCAATGCTCGCTTCTCAGGGTCGGCTTCTTTGGCCGCAGCCACAAACAGGCTGGGATGTTCAGCCCAGTAGGCAGAGTATTCCGTCAGAGATGTGCCCGAAAGAATGAAGGGAGGAGCGGTTAACGAGGAGAGATCTCCGTTGAAGGAGGCGATTGACTAGCAAAATATCGATGTTAGATTAACCCATTCAACCATAATTTGGCTAAGACGACGTAATAATGGACGACCGAACCAAAACTCACCTTCAAGAAGCTGGACCAGGACCCTTTGCTTGCAGGGGGAATGGCAGACTGTGGATCCTTGCTGGAGCTCATGTTGGGTATACTGCTGTGTGTTTGACAAGAAAACCACGTAGTCCAAGAAGAAAAACTTAGCAAACGCTAATGGATAGATTTAAGGAACCAAGAAGAAGTAAGCTTGAGTGGGGATGAAGAAGAAAGGGAGGCTTCTCCAGTAATACTACCAGAGACACCTAGCCAAAGGAATTAATTAATTGCTTGCTGGGGAGTTTCAGAGGGGCACAAGTTAAAACAACTGCCAAGGGGGGATTCGGTTGCGACGTCATGGCCATCTCCGTAACTTCAGCGGTTGGACTCTTGCCCCGCATGCGACATCACCAATAACGACATCTTCCTCTGCATCGCACATTCTCATCATCATTCTCATCTCCAATAACAGCATCTCAAGATCCCAAGATCGACCAATGAGTGCTTGCAGCTGGTCCTCCCGCCGCTGTGTCGACCTTGGCAAAGGCAAAGGCATCATCTATCTACGCCCCTTTGCCGGGAAAAGCGTACACTGAAAGACAGCAGACATCAGTGGCTTTTGGTGGCTTTAAACAGACAAGTTAATAAGCTATCTTATCTGATGACTTGGCGACCTGTTTCTGCTTTCAATCAAGGGCAGTTTTCCATCATAACTTGGACTGCTACAGAAAGCAGATTCAAGCACAAATGGCCTCCTTCGACCTAAAAGGCATCGATGCTGATGCCGACGCTCATAATGTCCAGTCTATTTAGAGGATTCAGGTCCATGGAGGGTCTGCCGAGTGCCTTACGACAAGCGCTATCACAATCTTACTTCAGTACCATCATCATACCATCTCAGGGGTCAATTCGCAAATTCAAGACGACTCAACTATCTCTGATGAGCTTCACTACCCAGATATGTCTAAGGATAGTTGAGAGCTGACATAGAGAAAGAACGGAAGCGGAAACCCTCGTCATTACGGAACCGTGAGATTGCTACTTACTCCCTATTTACCCCTGCTTCTCAACTCAAGTTTGCTATTCTGCCTGCTACGGGTCCGAAAATTTATCATCAAGTAGAGAACCAATCGCGGATGAGCTAGAGACCAGAAGGTCCCTGTTTCAGAAGTCAGGGCTTTCAGGTCGATCGGTTTCTGGAATGGCCTCCCTGAGTCGCTTATCCCTTGGTTGATTTTCCAAGGGTGATCGCCAAGGTTGATTAGGTAACGGATGCTCAGAATGCTGGACTTCTACCTCTCTATGCAAAGGAAGATATTTCAATTTGCTCCATGGTTTATTTTCGAAAACAAGTCATTGAAACTCCCCTGCTTCTCTTTTGCTGATGGAATGTACCCTTCCGTCCATCGCGGTTCCTTGGCCACGAGATGATCGCCGATAGGCGTATCCGTACGCCACACAGGCTCCAACCGGAGCTTAGTGTATCATCTCTTCCCAATTGAAAGTATGGTGTAACACTATGCGAGCTCTCTATGAGATGATGCGTATCATGCGTTGCTTAAGGATTTACCAGGGCTGCCGTTGGCCACGCACCAGCCCCATCGTTCTGCGTTGTCGATCATGTTTCCACTCTTGGCCAAGCTATAGGCATCCGGGCCCTCTCCCGAAGCATATAGTGGCCCATCAACGTATCCACCGTTGGAGAGGATCATTGGGTCTCTATTTACCTCAGCTGTCTCTGCGTGGGTCAAATATCATAACATATTTGAGAAAGACTGCGTAGTGTTTCCAAATCGAGCTACTGAGAGCTTCTGAACCTCACATCCCCAAGGACTCTAGCCATTGCGTGCTTCATCGACGTGATGATAGTCGGGCTGAAAATTGGATGCATTGCATCGCGACGCGTAATGCTCGATGGTCAAGGAGACAGCCACCTGACCAGTGCCTTAAGGTCATGAACTGCACATGCTTCAAGATGTGCTCGACAGCTGTCTGTTGACCTTTGTTTGCCGTGGCGAGCTCTCCCTTTCCATATCTGTCCTATGAATTGCGCGTCTTTCATGTGAACTCAAGGACCCAACCACCCTTTGGATCTTCCGGACATTTGCTTGTCTCACTTGAGATGCCCACAGAAGCCTTCAATATACCGGGCTCAATTGTTTGTGACCACAAGATCGAACGCATTTGTTCCAGTACTTGCAAGTCTACACTGTCTCAATTCCTATCAATCGCCGTGCACCATGCTCGGGGTTCTGTGGTCCAGATCAGAAGACACAACCACCATGTCTGACAGTTACTCTCTGAACTCTTCTACAACCCAGCTGCCCGTAGAGGGCCCTCAAGGGGCGAATTCTTCTTATAGCTCGTTTCCTAGCTCACCTAAGACCCTTGTTCAAGTACAAAGTCACCTTGTGAACCATGACAGTTCAACGGAGATAGATGAGTATGAGGAGGAAGATGCAGAGCAATACCTGCGGTTCTCCCCGTCTCGAAAGATAGCCATCGTGGCTATCTTAACATTCTGTGCTTTCCTTACTCCCGTTTCTTCCACTGCTATCCTAACCGCTGTTCCGGAACTTGCAACGACCTTTGGGACGACAGGAGATATGATAAATGCCAGTAATGCGCTGTATCTTGCGTCTATGGCCGTCTCTTGCTTGTTTTGGGGTCCTCTCAGCCAGGTATGGGGTCGTCGTCCTGTAAGTATGCCCGAAGCAACCTTTGCAGTGTTGTTAGTTTACCGTCTGACTGCGGATCCCTACAGATATTTGTCCTAAGCGGGCTGCTATTTTGGCTCTCCACGGCCGCCACTGCCTTATCTCCCAACCTTCCTGCATACTGTATATTCCGAGTTCTCACTGCCCTACAAGGCACGTCATTCCTCGTGGTGGGAAGCTCTGCAATTGGGGACATCTACGAGCCTCGGGCCAGAGCCACTGCATTGGCATGGTTTCTGTCAGGGAGTATGACGGGGCCTGCTTTAGGTCCATTCCTAGGGGTGAGCTTCTACCTTTTGATGAGAACGTAGAGTCTATCTAGCCGCTAACGCGCCTCGTCGAACCCAGGGTATTGTGGTCACATTCAGGCAGTGGAGAGTCATCTTCTGGCTCTTGACCGCACTGACCGGCTTCGCCGTCCTGTTAGTTACCCTGTTCCTCCCAGAGACCATTCCGCACACATCGAAGGCCGAGCTTGCGGGCCACCGTTATCCGAAGAGGGTCAAAATGCTATGGCAGCGCATCTCACCCTTACGTGCCCTCCTTCTCCCGTTGTCCCATCCGAATATCTTCATTACCGGCCTAGCAGCCGGCGCTCTAGTCTGGAACCAATACGCTCTCTTGACGCCAATCCGATACGTTCTCAACCCTCGCTTTCACCTGTCCAGCCCAATCCAAGCTGGTCTTTTCTATCTTGCGCCGGGCTGCGGATACCTGGCCGGCACCTTCGTGGGCGGCCGCTGGGCCGATTACACCGTGAAAAAGTACATTAAAAAACGCAATGGACAGCGCGTGTCGGAGGACCGACTCCGGTCCTGTCTCCCATACATCTGTGTCGTTACACCAGGCTGTCTCCTTGTCTACGGCTGGACCCTCGATCGAGAGGTCGGTGGCATCGCGGTGCCCGTGGTAGCAATGTTCCTGCAGGGCGTGGCGCAAATGTTCTGTTTTCCTAGTCTTCAATCCTACTGTCTGGATGTGATGCAACCGCATGGCCGCAGTGCGGAAGTCGTCGCCAGCAGTTACGTCTTTCGATACGTGTTTGCGGCACTGGGCACCGGCGTTGTCTTACCTGCTACTCAGTCGCTTGGTGTTGGATGGTTCAATACCATATCTGCGCTGTTTCTGGTATTCTCTGGTATCCTGGTGTGGTTGACGGTTATCTATGGCCCGCGGTGGCGGGAAGCTGCTGATTTGAAGTACTCTCGGAAAGCAGTTGAGGACAAGCAGGCTCAGGCAGAAGCATGAATCAAGAATTTGTCAATAGGATAATGTACTATAATATAGACAGGATATAGAAGGGTCCACGGGAGTATTGGCATTTAATATAGAATGTTGTTGGCTTTGTGCTGAGTTGTGACATATATTTCGTTCACTAGTCTCTAGTTGTGCTGCGTATCACCAGGTTCCCCTCCATGTACAGTTGTTAGAAGGTGTCTCCCCTGGAACCACATGTCTAAAGCAGATCATCCCTCCCGCGATGATTCCCCTCCCTCTACGCCCGTCGTAATACCACGCGAGCCCTTCAAGACTTCATCTCTGCTCAGGCCCGTTTCGGCAGACACCCGCGCAATCTTCCGCGCCTCGGCGAATCGCCTCGCATCAGCGCGCCCTTTCTCCACATCCACAAAGGCAATCGTTATCGTCGCCGCAGCACATATGGCAAACAAGAACGGGAACCCCATCCAGTTATTCTGCGTATCGTTGATAATGGCCTGGATCACATTGGGTCCGATGATGGAGGACTGGACGAATCAGTACTCTACTCTGTTTTATTTACCTCGCACCTCATTGGCAGGAGATAGGCAGGCAGGTATGTATGTAGGCAGCCTGCATTGCGGGAATGATTGCTTACAGCTCGATTCGTGATGCCGAAGAGCGCGAAGAACATGTTATCATAGCCTTGGGGCATGAGCTCGCTTATCATTGTTTGCGCGTACTACGTGTGCATTTGCCGAGTGGGACAGAGTTAGCCTCGTTTCGAACGGGAGGGAAGTTGTGGTACTGCGTACAGCGTAGTAGGGGGCTTGGAACAGGCCAAAAACGACATTGTAGAAGTAGAATTCCCACTGCGGACGATTGTGAGCTTGGAAGTTGAGGCGCTGGAAGCTGGAGACACTTACTTGGTTATGGTACCCGATTCGTTGTGTCCAGAGTCCTATCATTCCCCAGAGTGGAATTAGGACGCTGAAGAGGTTTGTGACCAGGAACATGCTCTTGGTCCGGAATTTGAAGTACTTTTGGATGTACCAGAATCCGAAAGTTGAGGCGATTGAGCATACGGCCTGTGTGATGCCTAGATAGGTTAACTGTAGAAATGAAAAGGATACGTAGTCGTTTTGAATGATGGAAACCAAGGTTCCTGCAGAGATTGCATCAGCTTCCTACCCGTTCATCGCCAGCTGTTCTTAGGTGCAAGACTGTGCACTCACCGGTGGTATTTAGTCCATCGGCAAGCAGAAAATAAGCGACGAAATAGAGGAATGTCTGTGGCAATGACCGGATCTCCCTGAGTGCAAGCCAAATTTGCTTGAAGCCAATCGTCGCATAGTTCGACCCTTTTGGGACCTTAGGGCCTGGCCGTTTCTGCTGGAAGATGAACCACCATACTCCTAACACGACCCAGTCTAGTGGCAGCCGTCAGTTTATGGTACGTATTAGGTCACAGGATCACTTACATGAGTTTGTCAAGCAGAGTGCGAGGTTGTTCGAAAAATTGTTGTTCTGAAGTGGAAGCAAAACACTCAAGTTTAGTACAAGAGTGAGCAAATATCCAATATTGCTGTGGGCAGTCGATATATTGCTATTACGCACATAAGTATCGCTCTGTTAATCCAGCGATGGAAGCATACCTGATGTGGTTTCTCTCCAAGGATTCAATTGCATCATACTCTTGCCGACTGATTTTGCCCTCCTTCAGATCTTCCTCACGAGCTTTGCGGACATGCGGCATGTATTGAGCAAGCCTGGGAAACACAGCTGCATAGAAGACCAAAGTAGCTCCGTAGGCTATGTATGCAACTACATACATCGCCATTGCGGCAGGCCACTGACTGGGATCCCTAATCGCCATCATGCCATACTGTAGAGCCCAGCATATTACTGTTAATGCCAGCAGAAGCCAACGGCCAAACGATCCGTAGTCGGCAGCGCTGCCAAGCCAGACAAATATCACCGTCATGAAGGTAAAGCACAATCCATTAGCGATCAAGACTACGGAAGAGACGGACCGCGTGCCTCCAGCCCATGAGACAACGCAGGGAGAGGAATCCGTGCATGGCTGGGGCGGATTGGTGCCCGGTTGCCAGCCAGCCCCGTTCAAGGCCCATTGAAATCTTCAAGATAGAAGCATTAGCTGGGGTCTGATATTGTTGCAGATGCGTTCTTCCTTACAGTGCTTGACTATAAGAACCCGGACCGACACCATTGTCCCCTGACGGAGCACGAGGTATATCGTCAGTAAGCCCTAACTAAAAGGAGCCAGAGGCAATTACCGTTGTAGTAAAGATAGTAAGACCATAGCTCTCTTCGCGTGGTTGTTGGTTGTTCGTATAGATGTTCATCAACACCGAACAGGCGTTCGAAGTCGTCGCGTGTCGACTGGACTTCTTGCGCAGTTATTGTAGCTTTTGTATTGCTTCCCTCATCACGTTGTCTGTCATCGTCGTGGTTAGTGTTATCGATCAATACACTTGGTTGATTGGATGGATGGCTGTTCGGAGACATGACGACAATGGTGTAACGGCTTCCAGCTCCCTTGATCAATGTTAGATGCTGCTTTTTTTTACCAGAAAAGAGGCGAACTGACCTTATAAGCCGGGATTTCTCCGATTAAATTGAATCATTTACATATCATCACCGTGGTGAGAGAATGTGTCGACGCGATGGTTCATGGCTAATGCTACCCCGCATCTACTGTTGCATTCCTGGAGGCAATGTCGCTTCGTTCTCTGATCTTCGGCCCCCATTATATTAGTGACTAGGACCAAATTGAACCGTTCACAACGCTAACAAAGTCTTTTAAAAGACACTTGTGATAAACCGATAGTGCCAATTTGAGGAGAAGAGAATCGATTTGAATATCGGAGCAGTCCATGTGAAACGCGTCAGGTCATCAGGTTCTCCGCATCTTCTCCACCATCGTCTCCAGAGTTGTTGACCTTCTTGCTCCATTCGAATATATAGACCGCTGATATAAAAGTTGTTATTTCTCGTTGAATCCGGCTTCTTCTGTATAGAATGGCATATTTTCAACACTAACAGCTGGATTCACAGGATTTCAACCCAAGACCTAACCGAGATAAAACGTCATCCATTCGCAGTTTCATGCAACGAGCTGAAAGATGCCGCCAGGAGATTTACAGAAAAAAGTTGGCCAGGTAAGATCTCTAGCTTAACATCCGTATAGTAATTGGTAGTCTGACCTGACGATTGTTAGCTTTTTGCGGTCGGCTTCCATGGTATTGTACCAAGTCCAGAGATCAAGACTTTGATCCACGAGTACGGGATAGGAGGCATTGTGCTGTTCAAAAGGAATATTCAAAATGCAATGCAGCTCCAGGTATGTATTACAGCAACCACCCAGATATCCCGACGCCAACGAAGAATGGCCCAGCTGATTCTTGTACAAGTCTCTCACGCTGGCTCTGCAAGAGGAAGCCAGACTGGCAGGACACGAATATCCTCTCTTTATAGGAATTGACCAAGAGAACGGACTAGTCACTCGGATATCGCCACCTATTGCTGCTCAGCTACCCGGACCAATGACCCTTGGAGCAACGCATTCGCCAGAATTGGCGTATCAGGTTGGAGAGGTCACCGGTGAGACGTTGAGGTTCTTCGGGATCAACATGAATTATGCCCCTGTCTGCGATATAAATTCAGAGCCCCTGAACCCAGTCATAGGCGTGCGGAGTCCAGGAGATGACCCGGAATTTGTCGGTCGGTTTGCAAGCGCTGCTGCGCAAGGACTTCGAGAACAAAAGATCATTCCTAGTGTCAAGCATTTCCCCGGACACGGAGATACTGCAGTGGACTCCCATTATGGGCTTCCAGTGATAGAAAAGACGAGAGAGCAACTGGAGAAATGTGAGCTGATCCCTTTCCGTCGAGCTGTGGCAGAGGGCGTTGAGGCAGTGATGACTGCGCATATCTCCTTGCCCGCCGTCGGTGACGGCAAACTGCCTGCCACACTTTCCGCTGATGTCTTGAGCATTCTCCGCAATGAGATGCAATATGACGGGATGATCATCACGGACTGCCTCGAGATGGACGGGATTCGAGCCACATACGGTACCGAACAGGGAGCAGTTCTGGCCTTGGAAGCTGGTAGTGACAGCATCATGATATGCCATACCTTCGCTGTTCAAGTAGCCTCAATTCAAAAAGTCTGCGAGGCCGTACAGTCTGGCCAAATAGCAGCTTCACGTCTGGACGAAGCTTACCGTCGCGTGGCCAAGTTGAAAAACAACTTTCTGAGCTGGGAAACTGCGCTGCTATCGCGGAATCTTGATGATTTGGTTACGTTGAACAGGAAAGCTGCCACGCTTGCAAAGAACGCCTATTCACTTTCAGTTACCCTTGTCCGCAGTGATCCTGGTGTCTTGCCTCTATCAAAATCGGGACATCTTGTGCTTGTGTTCCCAGGGGAAAGAACCCCTGCAGGAGGTGCAGTCAACGGGGAGGGTCTAGGAATGAAAGGAGCTTACGATGCCACGGAGTTCGGCGAGGTCTTGAAAGCCCACAACCCCACAACTATTGAGCTTCACTACGGCTCTGCAGGACTGTCGACTGAGCAATACAAGCTTGTTGAAGCTGCTGATGCTGTCGTTCTCATCACCTTCAACGCACGAGAGTCGCCCTTTCAGAGAGAGATGGGCCTGAAGCTCTCCCAGCATACTCGAAGACTGGTCACCATAGCCGCTTGCAGTCCTTACGACTTTTTGGAGGATGACAGCATCAAGACGTATATAACTACTTATGAGCCGACTATTGAGGCTTTCACAGCCGCCGCAAATATTCTTTTCGGTGAATTGACTCCAAAGGGTGCCCTACCTGTTGGATCAAAGAAGGCCGCGCTAGGTTCTATTCATGTGTCGCCATTCGAAGCTGCAAGTGATCTGACTGCACTGGTCGAAGTCTGGAATACTGCCTTGCCGACATATCCACTACCCGCAGACAGTCTTCACAGATTTTTGACACAGGCCAACGGACGTCACTTCGTTGCGCGACTAGAGTCCAAGGTCATT